GGCGCGCGTGTATTCACACACGGAGGCCAATCGATGCCCGCGATCCCCGTAAACCTACATGTTAATCGTTGGAGGAACGCCGCCCGAGTTTCTGCGCCGGGTCGAAATCGGTAATCGGTGGAAATTTCTCTCGCACGAGAACGATACGTAGCATTACGTACGCTGATTATTTACGGCGGTGATAAGGACGTTTATTGCGGTATTTATCTTCATTGGAGGGATTAAATTAAGCTTTGTCGCCTATTAACCGTAATCGATATGAAACGGAATTGGAACTGTTTGTTTTCCGCCACAGTTTCTCCGCCCGTAATTTCCTGAGGTTGTTGCACGATTTGTCCGGTTATGACTTATGACGGGCGGAACCGATTCGCGATATTAAGCATTCGTGTATTAATCCGACACGCGATATCGAGGCTGCTTTTAATTTTCGTTCTCTTGGTATCGAGAGGGGATCGAGAGAGAGAGAGAGACGAAAGGACTACGGCTGAAAGGAAACGTGCACGCACAGATGGAACAATGGTCGTCCTTCCAGACGTTGTCGATGCACCGATACAATGGCAACGGGCACGAGCCTACGTGTAGAATCACGTGTAGGTAGTCACTGACATTTTAAAATGTCAGCGGGCCCTCTCGCAATGCACTGTTTATCATTCAGGTTACCGGTGAGTCGTCTCCTGTAACGATATCTGTATCGGCTTTACGAGGATTCAAAGGTGACGATTAAAATTCGCGGTGGTCATTGCTCTCGTTATGACCGCGTTGCGACGTAAAATTCGAATCGTCGACAATAGTCGATATCTTTTTTTTTTTTTTTCTTTTTTTTTCAGTCGTAGAATTCGTGTAGGTAGACACAAATTTAGTCTCGAAGGGATGATTTATTCGATAAGTAGCTTCGTTAATATTTGGGCGGAACGAAGTGTTTTCATTTTTTACAAGTTGAGAGAGACTCAATACGGAGTTTGAGCATGACTTTCTAAATGTATCTCGTAAGTTATTAGGCAATGGAAATGTGAAAACCTTTGGAAGAATGTAACCTTTTCGCGTAAGCCAGCGCGAATCGCTAATCCTGAATAGCTTGCCCTTTTTCGTTAAACGACTCGGGATTAATAACGGATCGACTTATTAAAAGGTATGGAACGTGAGATTCGTACGAGATTCGCGCGAAAAAGAAAGCGGTAATCGAATTAACTCTCGTGAGATAAAACGCTGTAATGAAGATTTCTTGTAACGCGTTAATGAAAATTGCTACTTAATTGGCAGCATACGATGATGGATAGAGATAGAAGAAGCCTGTAAATAACCGCTCGAGTTCTCCATCCAGTTAGTTTCTATTTATAAATTTTGCGAAAAGAATTTATACCAGCTTTGCTATATATTTCGTTTCGTTACAAATCATATTTAAAAGACATTTGGATGGAAAGCGAGTTTCGACGTACGATTTCAGATTCGTTTACACACAATGTACACAATATCTAGCCCAATATCGGCGACGAAATAAACGAGAAACGAGCAATTTATCGTTCGGTTCCATCTCTCGACGAATATTCTTTCCCGGGTGAGAAGACGCAGAGAAAGCGTGGACAGGAACTTCTTTATATCGCGTCCACCTACTCGTCCCGTTCGGAGTTTTCTATGCACCGCGGATTGCGTAATCCCTTTCATTAACGATATATCGTTCGCTGAACCCTGCCTCGATGCCTCCTTCCTTCCAACCGCATCCACGTGTAAATTTCTTCGAGTCGGAGAGAAGAAGCGTATAATATTCCGTGAGAGCACCATTCGGAAATCAAGATCGATCTCAGAAATCTCAGAAAGATGAACGTCACGCTCGGTAAAAAAAAAAAAAAAAATTGCCCAACGAGCTCGATCTAATTTCGATCTCGATCTAATTTCGATCTCGATCTAATTTCGATCTCGACTTTTGCTCGCCCGTTAATCGCGAGTAATGGATTAAATAAAAGGGAGGGATCGCGCGGAGAGGGAATAGAGGCAGCGGTGATCACTTTTACTCGCTCGTTAACGAGCGATCCATATTTTCTCGCGTTTCCCATCTTTGGGGAGGGGGGGAAACGAGGATCGAGAGACGGAAGTGGGTAAAAGAAGCCGGGATCGCGAAAGAGCCGGCGAACCCTTCCCATCCAGTCTTATTACGCGAGATTACACGTCCATTCCGGCGTTCTGATTAATGTAACCGAATATAATGGTCGGTGTTGGCCTCGGCAACCGTTTAAATCGCCCTACTATTCTCCATCGAGGTTCGAGTCCTAAATTTACGACTTTCTTCGCTTCCTCGAGAGCACATCTCTTTCCATTCGTCTCCGATGGCGTTGAAATTTATGCGCGGATTAGAATGGAACGGAGAAAATTGAAATTGTCCAAGCGTTTTCTAACGGTGAAAAAATGTTAAATCCTCTTGACGTTCAAGTTATAGCCGGATAAAGTTTTTTAACTATCTCGGGGAAGTTTTGAAATTTTAATTTCACTTTTCCATAATTTTTGGCTCCTCGGTTAACCTGATCTGAAAATATTCTTGTTAAAATTTTTTTGAATGATGATAGATACGCGTCCTCTGTCATTTTAGAGACATTAATTAGATCGTTAATTGTCGATAATTCCAGGGTTAAAAGTTTCGTTTTCTGCACAACGACGCGATTCTCTCGAATACGAAAGTTTTACAACTTACGATAACGCAACTATAAATTCTCCGGCAAAACGGATCTAAATCCCACGTCACATATGTCGATTCGTCTTCTCTTTAGCGTTACGTTGGCATAGATTCTTCGTTCCCTGCGTCACGTAACTTTTACAACTTGCCACGTTCCTTCGTGTCTCGCCACTGACACGTGTCAAGAGATTGAACTTCGACCAATATTGCCGACAACGACCGTGATCCTGACGCCATCCGAGACCGCTCGTTGCCGAGGATCGGCACAATTGCCATTGCTGAGAATATATAAAGGAGGACGCGTTAATCTTCGTTACGTAATCCCACCTCGTCGATCGAGGCTTAGCGAAAAATCATGCGTGGCGGTAGAAAGAAATCCTCTCCGTCTGCCATTTGACCCCCAAGCGAATTCCATCCAAGCACCTCGTGGCACGCCGCTCTTCGGTTCTTGAAACTCCCTTCTGATCTTTGCTCCATCCTGGACCCTCGATGAGACACCCAATGGGGCCTGATTTACGCGGAGCAATAAGACGCAATGACTCGCGCCTCTTTTCTCTTCCTCCAACAATCGTGATCGCGCGATATTATTTATCGCGTACATCATCGAGGCCATTCCGAGGATACCCTCCTTTTCTTCTCTTCTTCTTTCTAGAATATCTCGTACATATACATATATATATATATATATATATATATATATATACGCAATTATTTGATTTACAACGCCGTGGTTAATACCTTATTCCATCCACGATTCCTTCCTTTCCAACGATTCGTGTGCGTTAACACGAACGCTAACGTTCAACGTCCCCTTCGATCTCGTCCAATTCGTCGTAAGCCAATTCTACTTACATAAAACCGTTCAACATAACCGTACCACGACGACCACAGTTATCTATCCAACGTAATCTTTCCCGATGGCGATCGCGCCATGGCTACGAGCGTGTGATAAAAAAAAAAGAAAGAACGTGTGATAAAAATAAGAGAACCTTACCGAGTGTCTGAGAGGCCGGCCGCGATCCCGAACGTCAGGATCCGCTGGTCGCGTCGGGCCGCGCCGATCAATAGAAGACCAAAAGGCACATGTCCCGCTAGCTTCTCACGCGGCGGTGCACTCCGCCTCGTTGCTCATGCCGTCAGATAAACGCCGGATAATCCTTCCGATATCGCGCGAAAATCCTCGATATCGAGCATCAAAACCACCCCCTTCTACCCCTTCTTCCTTCCTTCTCCAACCTCCTTTCTCCAACCTCACCTTCCTCTCCTCCTTTCTCTCCCTCTCTCCCTCTCTCTCTCTCTCTCTCTCCCTCGATCGAAATCGACCTCTCGCGGACCTCGTCGTCGCGAACAAATCACACGCACAGTTCCGAACTTCTCGTCTCGCCCCGTTCAGAAGCCGAAGAATCGTGGAGAAGGCGAAGGGAAGAGGGTAGAGAGAAGGGGCCAGAGAGAAGAGTAGGTTTTCTCTTTCCCTCGAGTAGGAGGCGTTGGGCGCGCTTGGCCGATCGAGGAACGATCAGAGGGTGGACGACGGTGCGGCGCGATCGTCGGCGATTATCATCGCGCACGGAGAGGTTTGGTCGTCGCCGTGACGGGTTTTCGGTGGCGGGCGACGCGGATCCGAGTTGGGATGAGCGCGAAAGCCGAGAAAAGTCGGGGCACTGGGCTGGCATCGGGCAGACCGACGACCCGGTGCGCCTCTACCGACGCGGCGACGCACTGCGCCGACGTCGCGACGACGACGACGTCGTCGCCTAGGCGACCGAGCGCTGCCCCTCTCGCTCCTCTCCTCCGCGTTGGACGAGCAACGAGGGCGACCGAGTTGGCGGAGGGAGGGGATGGGATCGATCAATCGAACACGCGGCGCGAGATATCGAGATGTCGAGAGGGAGGCTAAAAAGAACTAAGGCGCGTTACGATTTTTTTTTCCCCCTCCCTTTTCTTTTTGCCATCATGAAACTGTAGAGAAGCTCTCCCTCTCTCTCTCTCTCTCTCTCTAGAGAGATTCATTGACTTTTTCGTCCAAGGATCGTTTTAATTCGTGAGAATATTGGACACTGTTCGAGTTGGAGCAATTCTTTTATTTTTTTTTTTTTTTCGATATCTCACAGTTTTAATTTTGAAAGGGAAATTTGTTTATCATCGATATAAATTATGTTCGTGAATGAATCGATTCGAGTAAGAGGTATGCGCGTGTTAGAAAGTTTTTCGGTGTGAATTTAGGGTATGGAGATAGTTGCTTCGATCATGTTGAATTTTAATACACGTATCCGCTATAGGTGTTCGATAATCGATCGATTGATGAACCGCGAAGCGGCGAGGTTATACGAACGAAATGGTGAGAAATGCTATCAAAGTTTACGCGAGATTGAAGCCGGAAAAGGATAAGAAAAATTTATTGGTACGTGTTTCGTATGAATATCGAATCGAAGCTTGTGCCTCGTATATAATTGTCCTCTTTCCTTTTTTCAAGGATTACGAGATCTTGTATCGTCCCAGGGAGAATCTGGAGGAAGATTTCTTGATTCTCGTCTCCCCCATTCAAAAATGCAAGGATTATCTTGACAATCGGCCCGAATCGTGGAATTTCTCGTGAGATATATCACACAGCCTATATCATCGCAAACGTACGCTTGTGTTGAAACGCTCGAAACTTTCAGTTTTTACCGAATATTCGAGGAATCCGCCACGCAAGACGAGGTGTTCGAAAATGTGGCACGACCGGTAATAGAAAGGTAAAAAAGGAATATAATTTCGTTGATTAATTAAAAATCTATTTCCCCCGCCAACGTTCACTCGTATAACTTTCGTTCATTGAAGAGCCCTGGACGGTTACAACGGAACCATTTTCGCCTACGGCCAGGTAATCGGAATTATCCATCGAGAATGTGGTACAAGTGTCGAGCCCAAAATTTTATTCCCGATACTTGGAACGCTGTTTACCCCTTTCCTGTGAAATTTCGAAAAAGATCGAATCGCTCCTCCGTGCCACATCCTCCAATGTTCTCAACTCGCGAGAAACCTCAACAGAGACGAACCATTTGTGGAACCTTTTAAGCCGTGAACTTCGTAGACGGCCAGCGGGAAAACCCACACGATTACCGGGAGCCTGGAGAACGATGGCCGCGGTATCATACCGAGAAGCTTGCAATTCCTGTTCGACGCGATAGGAAAGGTAACGTTTGTCGGTTGTTAGACGGTGATGTAGGCTGTTACACGAGGTGCGCACGAGGAGAACCGTATACCGCCCTTAAATTCTATGCAGAGGCCGGAAAACGTGTACTCCATCGAGGTGGCTTATCTGGAGATTTACAACGAGACCGGGTACGACCTGCTGGATCGGAGGCAGCCACGAGAGTTCTCCGTTACGAGATTGGAAGATTTACCGTAAGTCTTAAGCGACGTAAATGGCGGCCTGTCGAGCGGTGCGCGAACACGGATACGGAGGTATTTTGTAAAAAGAAAAGAAAAAGAAAAAAAAAAAAAAAAAAGAAAGAAAAAGAAAGCATTTCCCTTAAGGGAAACTTAAGTCCGGTTGACCTGTTCCTCCCGATGATTTCGACCTGCATTGAATATGGAGCATGTTGCAAGGTGCAACGTGTTGCTATTATTATGTCTCATTGTTATGTTTCGCGTTATGGGGGGATTAATTCTTTTCTCGATAAAAGATAAGGAAAGCGTTGAAAATGAGATTTCTTATTGTATGGAAATTTGCGGATGTTGTTCCAGGCGTATCAGCATTAGAGAGGACGAGGTTGGAAGATTGCATTTGAAGAATTTGACGTTCTACTGTGTCAAGAATATAGAGAATGCGCTTGAGTTGCTTTTGCTAGGAGAAAATAACAGGTATCGTTTATGATTATTATATACGATAATAGAATAATTTATAGGATAAAGTTATTGTCTAGGAGATATAATGATATTATGAAAATGATTTTTGATAGGACCACTGCCGAAACACCGATGAATCCTCAGTCATCGAGATCGCATTGCATCTTTACCATAGTAGTTTCCACCAAACAGTTCGGCGCTGAACAGTACAAGAGAGCGAAAGTGCATCTTGTCGATTTAGCAGGGTATACATTTCTCAATCTTGTTATTGACCGATAGTAAAAGAAGCACGAACGAGGAAATAAATTATTTTTTTACGATTATTTTGATGAAATATTTTTGAAAGTCAAAAAAAATAATACATAATGAATGTTATTTATAATTTTTCATTTTATCAAATTTTATTTTGGAATCGATTTCTATTTCGTATAAATTATAATGTTAATTTACAAATTATTATTTATTTAAAACGATAAAAGTATAGTCGAATCTATATCTCGTATCTCGTATCTCGTTCATGTTTATACTTACGTTAATATCTGTAGACAAGAAGAATAAGCAGTGGGAGAACAAGAAGTGGGAGAAGGACAGATAGAGTAAAATACTGAAATCAGCGCCATCTCTAGAGTGCCGCAAATGAAATACAAAAAGAAAGGATAGAAAACAGAAAAAGAAGGATAAAAATAATAAGAACTGATCACTAGCGCTATCTCTCGAGTATCGAAGACATTTCTTCGAAACGGATAAAACAGAATAAGAATTGAATATTAGCGCTATCTTTCGAGTATTTTTAAAAACAATGAATCGCACTCAAGAGATGGCGGTAGTATTCAATTCTTATTCTACCTTACCTATTTTAAAAAAATGTCTTCGATGCGCAACTGACAGTCAATTTTTATTCTATCTCTATCCTCTTTCAACTATTTTCTGTCCTTTCTTTATCTGTTTCCTTTGCGGCACCCTGAAGATGGCGCGAATTTCATAATTTTTACTTTATCTCTATCCTTTTTTAGCTGTTTGCTCTCCTTGTCTTGTATTTGTAGCGGGCAAAATTAATTATCTAACTTATTGATCAAAAATTTTAAGAGTTTAGTCGATCCAATTTTTGCACATCATAAATTTATGCATCCGATATATACTTTTATTTTTGTACATTTGTATATCACGTACATAATATATAAAAACTATATATAAGAAATATTTCATATATAAATTAATTTTTTAGAGGTTCTATATATTTGTTTTTATACATTTATATACATTATATATTTTGGAAAACAAAAGAAAAAGATTCTGAATTTGTAACGCTTTATTCACTTATTCGCCAATCTAATTTCTATAATCAACAAGATGGTAAATTTAAATTTCTTTCACAAATTGCATTTCTATTCGAATGCAGCAAGGAAATGACTTTGATTACAAACCGACATCTAGAATGCATTAAATGCCGACCCACTTGTCAGCGATAATTTTTTTTCTCCATGTTTTTATCGCGTCGTGCTTTCTCATTGCCATCTGCGCCCGTGCTGGCAAATTTTGTAACGGTAACCGATTTTGCAACGTGAGATCTACCTACTATTGCTTAGGTCCGAGCGTGTCTACAAATGCTCGATAACCGGCACCATTCTGACCGAAGCGAAGCACATTAACCTGAGCCTACATTACCTGGAACAAGTCATAGTGTGTCTGGGTCAGGAGAGCATGGGTCACATTCCTTACAGGTGCTGAATTCACTCCATCATTTGTACCTCATCAATAAAATTTTTTATTCAATCTTTTTTTCTTTTTAACAAAAGACGATTGAAAAATGGACTTTAACATCAAATAATTAATTTCATATTATTATGAAACAGCTCGATTGAGATGAAAATCTATTGTAATTTTTAATTTCCATAAAACTTTTCATATTCACGACTTTTTATTAAAGTTTAATTGTAAATAAACGTTTAAACAATAATCTTTCTTTAATAAAATTTGTTTAATTGTTATTAGGAATTCCTTATTAACATCGATCTTGAGAGACAGTTTAGGAGGAAATTGCATAACCGCCATGTTAGCGACTCTAAATATTACGTCTTTTAATTTGGAGGTGCAGAATAATTTATTATCTCGCGTAATATCGATGCAATTTATTATTATTTTTAATGTAATCAGATATTCCATTTATTATTTCTTTTTTTTTTTTTTTTTTTTTTTTTTTGTTTTTCAGGAAACGGTGTCCACTTGCAGATTTGCTCAAAGGGTGGCCTTGATAAAGAATTACTTGAAACTAAATTTGGAGACAGACATTAATAGCGAGAACGCATTATTGAGAGCGGAGAACGAAAGACTTAAGCAACAAATCAAAGCTCTGACAATGCAAACCGTTCAGTATTTTTGTTCAAAGATACGGAACGAACTTGCAAATGTATGGATTTTAATCCTTTAATTTTCACATTTTGTAAACAGAATGAAGAACTTACCGCTGACGATAAAAGACATCTTGATCGTAAGATAAGAGATTTCTTAGAATCGGACGAACGAATCTGTTGGGATTATAATCCGAAGAAAGTGCAGTATTGTTTCGAAAGTTTTAAAGAAGCTTTCGAGCTAAGCAAAGATCCTAAATGTTACTTCAAAAAATTGGAATATTACAAAGATCTGGTTATCCAAAGGGACAAGGAAATTTGTATCCTAATCCTAATTAATTTTCTTTTCATTCTTTTATCATTCTATATCGTTACAATTTCTTGACTCGGTTAACAGCTTTGCTGATCGACAAGTTGAAAGACAAAGAACGATCCACACTGAATACTAGCGACAATAATTTTTCAATCAATAATATCAAAAATAATAAGAAAAAGACTGGGCAGAATAATTGTATTCGAAACGATAAAAACGAAATGATACGTGATTTGGCATTAAACGATCACGTTCAAAATGATAAACGAGAAAGCGTAGTACAAAATTCGTCGAACAGCAATGTTCCTTCGAAGAAACTAAAACGAAGATTTAAAACTACCAATCAAGTCAAAACCAATGAAAATATCTCTGCTCGAGATTCGGTGTTCCGAAGCAAATCGACCTTTAACACAGTGATACCAGAATCGTTGCCTTGCAATATCGTCAACTTGAATTTGGATGATCTGATCGAGAATAAGAACCAAGCGATCGATCAAAAAATGAACGAAACCAATGATAATGAAACGACGAATCAACCGTCTTCACGGATACTTGAAAAGCCGCGGAAAAATGTTAAGAAGAAACGTAACACGGAATCGAAAACGAAACAGGAGGACGAGAATAATTCCGTTGAATTGTCAAGTAATGGTAAAGCAAAAATTGTAATCGAGAAGGATTCATCTGTGGAAACGGATTATTCAATTCCGGTGTACGAGAAGTTCTTAAGCTTTAATTCTCCCTCTCCCAAGAGTGTAAACACGCCAAAAGCTGTGATTTTTGAGAAAGATATCGAGACCAAGGTGGATTGTCTCGATCAAAAGTCCGATTTGGGAGAGGAGAGCAACAAATGCTTTGACGATTCGTTGCCTTTGACAGGGGATCCAGAGATCGACGAAGAAATAATAGCCTTCTATAAAGCGAAACGATCTGGAGGTATTTATTGATCGACTACTTCGTACACACACATATATATATATATATATTTTTCATTTATTTTTCTTAATTTTACGTTAAGATTACGATTCTTGAGATTCTTATAAAAATATGATTACATATTTCATCGTAACGTTTGTAATGTAAACACATGTAATAATAGCACGCAGTATTAATCGTATCAAATGTGTATTTATGATTGATATTTATAATTAATTACAATATAAAAAGAAAAAGTTTTATACGATGTGATAAACTAGTTAATAAAATATATTCGATTCATTTATTATATTTTTGTACGTACTAAATCTGTTTCAATTATTTTCTAATATAATAAATTTCTAACACGTTAACGGCCCCATATCTAATTTTTCGCCGTACATTAATGCTTCCAATATTGTTAATCTGTTTTTATGGATCAGGCCTAGACAGTATCTCTTCGCCATATAAGAATACTTTCTAATTTTAAAACTGAATAATTTATCAACGTTCATTTTTATACTGTCTTTGTACATGAAACCTTGGATACCTGAAAAAAAAAAAAAAAAAAGAAAGAAATAGAAATTTTACTAGAAAGTAAAAAAAAAAAAAAGAACGAGTAAATTTTTCTTACCTTTGTATTCATAAATTCGAAGAGTTCTCCTATTTTCAACGAAGACGAGCAATGTTTCGACCAATCCATCAAAATTGAGTATCGTGAAGGAGCTTGGCCTGTATGCTGTTACAGTTTGAAACATCTTTTTCTGCGTCGTATCGTTGTTAAAAATCTATGCATGCAAAGATGAATTGAAATAATGAACGAATATTTGATTGAATATTTTCTGAAACTCATATAACTCACAAATATACTATCCTTGCTAAACTCTTCATCGTAATACAAAAACATTTCTCTCTCGAAGAATCCAGCTTTGAAATTCAAAATTTCTTTAACCCTTCTTCCGAAACTCGTATTATTGTCGTATCCTTTTCCAACGTTCTTGTTAATCGTTAATATGCGATCATCATCCCAAACGATTTTCGTGTCATCCTCGTCCACCGAAAATGACAGAAACTTTTTCAATTCTTCGTTCATCTTTTCAGACGATCGTAATTCTTTCTTCTTATCGATCATCGTGAAAAATGTATCCTGATTTATTTTCTTAACTTCCACGTTGTGGCCAAGATCTAAAACGTGCTGGAAAAATGTAGAATAGAGACATCGGTGTACCACGCGTATCACTTTTATCAATCAAAGTTTAACGAGAATGAAGATTAAAGATTACCCTAAACTCATTGTCCTTCAATCTCCATACGTTCACGGGATTCCTTCCGCAAGATTTTGGGCCAGACGTAAGGAAATATAATTCCTGGTCTCGTTCAAAGGTCGCCCATTCTTCGACCACACCAAAATTGGCCATATCTCCCACCGATTCAAATTTTTCCTCGGTAAACGCGTACGCGTGCATTTGACAATCGTTGCAACTCAATATTAAGTGATCCGTGTCGTTCGTTTCGAAATAATGGACACTGGCAATCGAACCGCTATCGAACTCGATGATTTGCAGATAATCGAACGCATTGAACTGATAAATTTGATTCTCCGCATAGCGTTTCAATTCGGCCAGATCTTTACACATAGCGTCCAGATTCGCCTGAAAGGAAGGTTTCATCGAAAATATCATTGTTTCGTATCGAATCGAAAGATGTTCGTCAATGAAATGAATCGTTTCCGTACGCTTTTCTCTTCCAACATGGCGTCCATTTCCAAGTGCTTCTTGGCTAAAATACTGGATACCTCCGTGACGTTCGTCCCGTTTAAAATCTCGCTTCCGTAAGCTCCATTTTGGAAATAGACGTTGCCAAGAACGGTCCAATTTCCAGAAATAAATTGCGGCACTGAATTTTCGGTTGTCACTGCCACAGCTTCCCATCGATTCACATCTATGCCATTTAAATAGCCCAATAGCCTCAGACTTTTGTTGAGAATCACTGGTTTTTCGAATACAAAATTGCCTGAATGGATGAACAATTTTATAAGATAAAAAATTTATCGTATTAGATTATCGATTTGAATATTAAAAAAAAAAATTCGTTTCTTTCAATCTTCAACGTCGTCCTACCGACTATGGTGCTCTTTGTATTCAGAGGTATGAATCTGTTCGGATTGATGCCATTGATGAGGCGTGGATTGAATTCGTTTCGAAAATGAACGACACCGTGAAAAGTGAAGTGTCCCGTTATATTCTGGTCCCCTGTTAACTGAGAAAGATTGAAACAGCGTATCATAATTCCGATAAAAATATTTCGAATGTTATAGATAATAAATAGAATAAATAATTTTTGAAACGAAAACTTTCGAAACATTGATTCGAATAGAGTCAGGAAATACGTCTTTCCAGCAAAATTTCTTTATTTGATAAATTAATAATTATATAATTCGAAGATACCATGAATGTCTTTTCTTGCATCTCTCGCAAATCGACGCCATTCACCGTTCCTAAAATCTCAATATTCTCCGCTGTAATATTGTAACCTCTTAACACTTTTACAGGTATAAATTGATCGGTCTTCAACGGTATCAATAAATCCATATCGACATCGTTGATCTTCTTCACTTCAACGTTAGACTCGAAAATCACATTGGTGAACGTGAGGTTTGCTACGCAAAGAAGGATATTAAAAAAATAAAAAAAAAGAAAGAAAGAAAAATGTCACAGAACGAATCTAAATTACCGTCCACGTAAGAAGGTCTGTTAAGGTACAACACGTTGGATCGCAACTCGTCGATATCGATTCCCATTATGGATTTTGCTTCCAGAGATTTCTTAACGACGATATTCTTCTCTACTTTTATACCATCTTTGAATATAATTTTCGACTTGACGGAGAAAGGCGCGTCGATGAAGACGGCCTTCTCCCTGAATCTTCTCAGATCTATGTCGTTCAATTTCTCGTGAACGAAGAACTCGTCGTTAAAAGTGACCGTGTCCTCAAATATTTTCGTCCCGGAAACCGTGACGTTGTCCTCGTCCTTATAAATCACCGTGTTCAAAAAATCGTCGAAATCGATCCCCTGAATCGACCCGTTCACGTACAGATTCTCGATGGTTACGTCGTCGAGGAATCTGACGTCTCCACGAATTTCGTAGGAATTGTTCCCCAAATATCTGAATTTATCTGTCAGCTCGCGATACGGTACGCCATTGATGTTTCCAGTTGAGTCGAAGTATTCGGAAACGGTCATGGTACCTGGACACAATATTTCTCGAAAAAATATTTTTCAACTTAAAATATAGGATAATTATAAATATAGGATAATAGTTGTAACAGTACCGTTTACGATCACGGGACCTGAGAGCACCTGTTCCTTATAAGGATCTAGGATATTCTCTATGGGACGTCCGTTCAAGTATTTCGCATCAAGTTCGGTGCAAATGATCGAGTCGAACGTTTTATGCCCCTCGATCACTATGTTCGGGTCGGATTTTTGAACAGTGTCGAGTACGCGTTCCGTGAAATTGTAACCGTTCATCAGGCCAAGGATCGTCAGATCGTCGATGTAAACCTCGTCCTTGACGATTACAGGCCTCGGGCCGAATCGTTCCTCGTTGTACAAATCCGTCACGCGTTCACCGTTGATCGAATCCGCTTTAATCGTCCCGATTACTCGAAGGGAGTTCAACGTCAAATTTCCACTCTGCACGTGGTCCAGCATCGCGGACAATCGATCTTTCAACTGGCCAATCTCCTCTGCCGGCATTCCGTTCACAGATTTCGCGCACAAACGATCCGTTTCCAAAGCATCGTCGATGGTGCATTCGATGTCGGAAGATTCCAAATGTTTGGCGTAATCAACGAGATCGAGATCGTTCACCGTGTTCGCAACTATTTCGTCCGCTATCAAAGTGTCCACCGTTAAATTCTCGAAGCTGGCGTTGCCGAAAGTTTCGTTTACTTTCCTCGTAAAGAACTCGTAGGAAACGTTATTGTTCAACTTGTCGAAGGTCAATTGTTCGACGGTGACAGGAGACTCGAATATAACAGTTCTGTTCAAGCAACCTGTGGAATTGTTCTCCCTGAAGAATTTCTCCAATTTCTTTATTGCTCCAAACGTCACGTTTCCGAAAGTGACGTTGGCAGATATCTTTCTTAAATCTGAAAAACGTGGTCCAAACGTGAAGAATATTCGCGAAACGATAGTTAATTCATTGTTAAATGATTAATCAAAAGTCATACTTGGGAACACTTGATCCGTGTCCAAAGTAACGAATTCGTCCACGTGATGTCCATTGATCATGCCAGACGTAATGGTAACGTTGGATCTCATCTCGACGTTCTTTAAAAATGTTTTCGTCCCGGTTATCACGACATTTTCGTCGGTTCTCAACAGGAGATCTCCTAAATCCACTTCGGTGTTATTGATGATCAATCGGTCGAACGTCACATTACCCGAAACGTTTAAATTGTAGAACAAGATATCCGATGAAATTTTAGTAGTTTCGTTGAGCAATAGCCTCTCTTCCATATTTAATCCTTCTATTTCACAGTCCAGCTGCAATCAATTATCGTAATCTCTCAATCTGCCGATCGATCTAGCATTGCAGCGCGCATGTGTCAACTATTGAGAAAAACGTACTATGAGCTCATCGGTCACCGTCAAATTTTCGAAGCTGATTCCCTCATTCAAAACGTTCTCCTTGCTCAAAATAACGTAATCATCGAAATCTATCCCATTCAAAGTGGTCGCGTTCTCCAATTCCAACGCCTCGAACGATTCGAAGGTTTTCGAACCGGTTACAGTCACGTAAGGAGAATTACCGTTCTCCAGAACGTACTGTTCCGGATACAGAAGGCCATTCAACGTGGACAGTTCGACGTTATTCGACGTGACGGTCTGCAAATAATTAATCAAGTTAATTAAATTAAGACAAAATAATAATAATTACGATTTTGTATTTCGAATTTTACCCCCTCGATGACAGTTTCTCCAGGAATGAGCATATCTCTGTCTTTCCACACGATGTTCTTCATCAGTGTTTCCCAATCGAGGCCGTTGATCGTTGAAAAGGAAAGATCTCCGAGAATCTCCGCTCGACTTATTTTATCGAAATCCACGCCACTGTAATCAACTATAGAATCTCCAAAGCGTATATTTTCGACGGGAATACCGTTTATCGAATTAATCGTTAAATTTTTAACATCCTTGAAATCAATGGTGTAATTGTTGGAAGGGAGAGTGGCGTCTATCCCATTGATCGAGGATACAGTCAAATTATCGGTATACAAACTCCCTTTAACGTAAATATCTCCGTTTATTTCAACGTCCGAATCGAAGCGAAGATTCGAAACGAAATCATTCGATTCCGTGCCGTTCAATCTCGAATCGATCTGCTCGAGCTTCCTCTCCGCTTCCCTCAATTTCATCTCGAAATTGTTTACATCGAACTTTAAATCCTCTTTTGTCAACTTAGTCTCTCCCAACGTGATCGATTCGAAAGTCACGTTGTCGGATATGATTACATTCGTTGCGTTCACCCCGCTTATATTCCAAAACCCTGTGATCACAGGATTTTCGATTTTACTCTCCTTGAGCCGCGCCTTTGTTTCATTGATAATCCTTTCCTCGTATTCTATCAATTCCTGAAAAAAAAAATAGGCGTTTCAAATATCCACATATATATATATATATATTTTTTTTAAATAATTAACTTCGTAATTAACTTACGTTTAACGATTTTTGCAATCTCACTAGTTTCTCGGTCTCGTATTGGAGAGGGTGTTTCACGCTTTTCAGCTGCGTATCAAATTTCACGACTCGATTACCCGCGATAAATCCATATTTCGGAATCGGTGTGATCATGGAGAGATCGAACCGATCGAGATCGTTGTTGGGTAATTGAACTTTCTTGTAACTCGAACCTTGCCAACCTAACGCGAACACGGTCATGTTTTTCAATTGTACCAACAACATGGACTCGTCTCTGTAAGTGGCTAACTGTACGCTCGTTACCCAAGAAATGTCCGAAACGTCTGCAGGAAATGTGAATTAAAAAAGGAAATGAAAAGAGGAAAGAAAAACGAATCAATATATATATATATATATATATATCTTACCGAAACTGGACTCAGACTCTGTGTTGAACTGGAATTCACCGTCTTCGAAGAGAAAAAGACCCGCCTCTGGACCGGAGATCGACAAAAACTGGAGGTATCCGCTCTCGAAGCAGATGAAATTATTCAAATTATACGACTTTATCGTCTGTCGCTCCAAAATGTCATTTCCCTCCATCATATTTCTGTATTCATAGAGGAAGACGTCGTTTTCTCCTCGAAGAACCAATGATACGGTTTCATAAATGTTGATCACCTGGATATCGAACGATCTTGGCACGTAAGTTGAATAATAAAACCTGTATCTCAATTAACGAATAATATTAGAGATTTTTCTTTTTTGTTTTTTATTTAATTAATATTGAAAATTAATATGGACGTATATAAAAGAAAAATTTATTACCAAAAATTTAAACCATTGGTTGAGAAATCAATGTCGAAGCCATAGACATCGATAGAATTTTGCATTTGAAGAAAAAAATCCTCTTCGTTCAACACGAATATTTTATACGTGTCCTGGTTATCTGATAATTTCGTGATAATCTCCATATCTTTCACATGTTTCAACACTGGCAACGATCCAAGATATCGAAAAGAATTTCCATCTAAGAGCGTGTAACATTCTAACAGGATTCCGATGTTCAATTGGACGCACAACACGATTACTATGTTCGATTTCATTTCGATCGCTTTAAATTTTAATATAGTGCCTTTCACGATCAATTTCGTGAGTTCATCGATCGTACCCTTGTCCAAATCGAGTTTATTGTAGAAAAGGGTGGATCTTTCGTTTCGAAATAAATAACCGGTGCCGTTCACTTCCAGGAATTGCCAATTTCTCGCTGTTTTTGGCACATTTGTGTATTCGCGAACGGAAATATTCGTCACTATAAGCTCTGAAAATGTGGTGGTAAATTATTTTCAAAAAAATTTTTTTTTCTTTTACCTTGGAATACTTTATAAATCGGATGGAACAATATTTTGCACGATACCTTCCCTATTTCCAGCTCCAGTCCCGAATTCGTATTCCATCCAAATCGACGATTCATCTTCGGAATCTTCCGGAATTTCCGAGGTTTGTTCGACATCCTGGCAAATCGTGACAGTCGCACAGAGAAAAAGAAACAGCCAAATCGCGTTGCTACGAATCGACGAAGACATTTCACCCGTACAATTAGTTCGAATGATCTTGGAAAGCGTATTCGCAACATTTAAATATTCGGTACAAAATATTTTGATCGTAACCGAGCTCTCGCACATCCAGTGGTTCTCAAAGTATTCGTAATAATTGCAAAATCTCGATAAAAAGTTAATAAATTTTTGATATTATGCACATATTTAGGGGTATATCTGTATCGTAATTATCATTGCATCATCTCCCTCTTTTATTATACTTAAAACATATTTAAATGCATTTAAAATTTGCAATGCAAATCATTGAATTCTCTCGCTCTCTCTCTCTCTTTCTTTTTTTAATTTAATGTTAATGAATGAAAATAAATATCGATATAATTTCTTGATCCTCTACCTTCCAAGACACTCCTCTTGAATAATTTATCAAGGTTTTTATGCTTCATTTGTACACGATAATTATACAACTTTCACGAATATGTAGGTCAACAAACAATATTAGTCGTGCGTTTTCTTTAGAGAAAACGTTTTATTCGATCAACATATATATAATACAAAACAATTACAAACAACGTGCATGAATAATTACGTGACATAACAATTTCCCTCAACTAATTTTCGCGAACGAGTTATTCGAACGTAGTTTCAAAGAAGACAGTAGTTTCTTTATCGAAATCGTACTTTAAAACCGCGCACAAATTCTCTAACCCTTCGCATCCCCTTCAGAAATTATATCTCTATGTATGTACATATTTATAAACGGAATCACCTAGTATTTTGATTTTTGATTTTCGTCGGTTGAAAAAAAAAAAAAAAAACGTAACAAAATATGATATAAAACCCTGTACTACGAGTACTACCATCCGTTTAATTTTCTAAGGTACAGTCACTGGCAAGAATCTCGATCTGTCGCCAACTTTCGGCTGAAATCTCAAATTGATCTTGTCCTTGTTGTCCTCGCCGACCTCGAGGAACGAGTTCCAATCCACCAAGAAGTAGAGGCCGCTTTTCTTTCTTGCAGGCAGATCCGTTACAGGTTTCCCGGTCGTTCCGCCGAAAGACTCCTCCAACGCCATCAAATTCGATTTGGATGTGACGGAAGAATCCTCCATTTTGATCGTGTCTGATTGATCGGAATCTCCTTTCATGGAATTTGTCTCCGTGGTAGTGATTAACGTGGTTTCTTCCGGCTCTGTTGACAAGTTCCATCATGAATTCACTCATTTAGATTTAGATTTAATTGCTGTTTCCGTTCCGAGGGGAACGACTGAACAAGATTTGAAAGGTATCGAAGTCGAGAGAAGTTCTTACTTAGAATCTGGCCACGTGCACCTACGTTATTTTGATAATTTCGACAGAACGATGCCGCGAATGAGAATGGATATTGTACAATGGGGAGGATGTTATGCGTGTATATAGTTAGGATTAAATTTCCTCTCGATGAAGAGAATAAACAGACGCGATTTCGTTAGGAAGATAGTTATAAATAGGAACGTTAGCACTCTATGTACAAAAGGTATTTCTTTAGCAATTAGCGAGGAAAAAACGAATAAGCGGATAGAAAGTGACGGTGGAATCTAAATTTTTACGCAGATCTTTCCCAGCGTTTATCCTTTTATGAGAAAGATCCAGGATCTTTCTTGTACGCCTTTAAAGAGAAGGTTTAACATAATGGAAAATCGGCCAGTCGATTGAACGTTGTTAGAAGATAGAAAGCGATTAAAAGTGTATAATAATAATAGTAATAATGAAAAAAACGTGTTGATGCATCTTTCCCAAATAGGCAAAGAAAGACGAGAAAGATAAATGCAGAAATTCGAAATCGAAGTTTCTTTGGTACGTGTAGTATATAGAGAGTACATTAGTGTCAGAGATCGAGTCAGATAGATTCATTTCTAATTCTATCGTACAGATCAGTTAGTACATTTCGAAATTTCCTTAATCCCTGAACAATCCTTCGAAACCATAACTCCGAGTTGCCCAAAATGTATATCATAAATTTCTTAATACCAGTTACAACGGTTGGAGATTCTTCTTCTACGATGGTAAACTGTACGGTGGTCGTCTCTTCCTGTTCTACCTCTTGCTTTTGCTCCTCTCCTTTCTGTTCCTCTTGCCTCTTCACCTCGTTTCTCGCGTCTTCGTCTTCGTGGATCCCGGCGATCTCTTCAAACTTCAAAGGATCTGGCCCATCTTTCAAAACCTTCGTCGCATTTCTCGCGTTTTGAACGTCAACCTTACCCTCCTGGACCAATTTTACAGTGTTCAGAAGCTGATTGATCTTGTTTCTCTGTTCCTCGTCCTTCACGTTCACCTCGTGAGGCTTGAACACGTGAAACTTGGACGTCTCGGTCGATTCCATGTCCTCCATGCTATTTATCACCTTTTTGCTACCCTTCCTGGAAATCAGCCCAATATTCTCCAGAATCCCTCTCATGTTTTCCGGTACGACCTCGATCACGGAGGGTGGTTCAGTGGTGAATCTCATCGACTTCTGCCTTCTGTCGTCGCTCGTTCCAAGTCCGAATTTAGCCAAGAACGCTCTCATCTCTTGATCCTTCACGCTAGAAGTGGGCAGAGGTTTGAAATTCGTGTAAGAATTAAAATTAATGGTTGTTCTTTGAGTGGTGGTGGCGGTAGGCTGACCCAGATTCGACGTTTGAAGACCGAATCTTTTGAACAACAGTTGAACGTCCGGGGTCAAATTTTCCACACCCTTCTTGATCTCAGACCCCGAATTTTCAAAATTCATATTCTGATCGATGATCGACGTTGCTTCGTCCCCAGTCGAGGCAGAAATCAACCTCTGAATGGTATTCGCGTCTGGTGCCTGGAACTTGTTCTCCGCCATATCCTTGCTCTTCTTATAAACATCTTCGACGTTACTAGTATTATCCGGTCGCAGACCGATCGACGCCAATAGATCCATCACTTCTGGCCTCATAGTGGTGGTGCTAGTGGTGGCTTGTCGAAATCCCGCAGAGTTCAACGAGTAAGTTGAACTGTACTTCATTTTAGGAGACGTGTTAGTAGGCATGGGCGTCACGTAGAGGGCAATTGGCGTTTCAGAATTCATCGTTAAAGCTTCGGCATTGCTGTCTTTCGTTAATATCTCCGATCTCTTTGTTGAGGGGATAGTAAGATCTTCAGATATGTTCGTGTTAATAGTCGGAAGAAACGGTATTTTGTCGAGTTTGGAAGGCAAGGTTGGATTCATGGTGGTACTCGGTGGCGCGTTGTAACGCCACTGACTCGACGTCAGTACGTTCTGATTCATCTTCGACCTCTCCAAGTCGATATTAATCTCCTTAGAAGCTGGTTTCGTAGTGGGTTCATCCGTAACGCTCGTGCTGTACACGATTTCCAATCCTTCGTTTCCCTTACTTCTGTAAATTGGATACTTGGCCGTAGTCGTCTTTTCGGTGGTGTACGCGTTCTTTCGAAGATTCTCCAGATTGAAGGTGAACCTGACCGGCGTCGGGTCAAGTTTCAACGTCTCCCTCAAAGGAACTTTGGTGCGCACTTCTGAATACGTGTCCCTGTGATTCTTGTAATGATTTTGCATCGTGGTTCCAGTTTGCTCTTTCGATACGCTCTTGTAGGAATCGCTAGTCGATATCAAATTTTCGGTGGCCAATGACGCATCGTTCTGTCCTCTCCTCCAATTATCCTCCTCGACTTCCTCGTTTTCGTTCTTTCCCATCGACGTTGAAAAATCGGAAATTATCCTCGTCATAGGTGGTTTCGTGTAAAGATCCTTCAAATTTCCAGCCGATTCTTCGGCACTGTAAGGAAGGACGACCATCAGAGCTCTTTGGTACAGATTCCTTGCTCTCTCCAATTTTTCTTTATCCTTGAACACCTTCAAATCCTGGGACGTGATGTTCTGCAGAATCTTGACTATTTCTTGTCTAGTCAATCGGGGCAGAGTGGAATCTTCGCGAACCTGTCTTTCGACTTCCTCGATCGTACGGTTGATTGAACTCTCGATCTCGAACCTCGATGGAAGATCATTGTCCTGGCAATGGCTCAGCCCGAGGAGGAGGAGCAGTAAAGAGAAAACCGCGAACTATGCAGACAATTATTGATCGGATTAAATTTAATTGAAATCGCATTCAACTTTAGAATGCCAATTGTATTCTGGGAATTAACAGATCTTGAATTATTGATACGTTACGTGATCTAAAATTGTTTCGAATAATTTTTTATTAGTTTCTGGTAAGAATTTATAAAAATCTGTTCCACATTCGCCATTATTCATACTTTTCTCGTACATCGGTGTAGTGCCACTAAAAATCGATTAATTGGAATTCTTTTTAGAGCATTGCCAACTTTTTACTTGAACTAGCTCGTTTCTCTAGTAAAAGAAGACTTTTTATCTAAGATTTTATCGTCGTGATAAACTTTTACAAAGTATTTTTTTCCAATTAACATAAATCAAGATTCAATGTTCTGGTTACTAAGTCATATCTATATGAACGTTACCTTCGAGTTTACGTAAAGTGGAGAGTGTTTTTTCCCTTCGAACATGTAGAAATAGATCGTAAATCCAAATGGCGAGTTTCTTTCATATTCATAAAGTGATTTTTATAAAATATTCTTGACTGAATTTGACGATCGAGAAAGTTGAACAACTTGGCTGCGTTATGCAATACAAGATAAAAATGAAATCATTTATGATATCTAGTAAAAATTATAAGTATAGAAGGATGAAATCTCGTGATGCCATAACTGTAATTTCCGGTAATGTCTCTTGCGCCATTATGAAATATCTCCATATTAATTATCTCGAGAAATTGTTGAAGCATAAATGACACTTGGTGGTATAAGAACTTATTATATTTTTTTAATTATACTATGATGACTAATTTTTATAGAAAACGGTTAAACGTTTAAAATACGTTATAAAATATTGTTCAGTTGTTAAATTTCAACAATATTTTGTACATTCTCGATTACAGACAACTTTCTAAACGTTTTCTATTTCTAACTTTTTGAAACAGTTATACTGTAACAACGATGCTATGCTACTTTGTAGCTTCGTTTTTATGGATCGAAAATTCGATCGAAAGAGAAAACAGGAAGGTGGATCATTTTAAAAACCAATTTTAAGATAATGATTCTTTTTCATAAAAAAGTGTTATGTCGATATGATTTTCTCTAGACATGAAATTAGACACGCTGGGTGATTTACCATGATAATGATCCTCGAAAACGAAAGTTACTTTCATCCTCAACAATACGACTCTTTTCACATATTACAAACGAGTCTATTGAATTTATAATCTACACGTGCTGTTTACTTGAACAAACGATTCAATGAAAAGTTTGTTAAAATTCCGATCTAAGATAAATAATCGCGATAAAAAGTATTTACGAATAATTTTTCTATTTAAATTCGATAAATAAAATTAAATTCAAAGCATAGTGAAACTACTCCTAATTATTCATTAGTCGTTCAACTTTCGATGTTTTTCCATTCACGAATTCGTTGCAACGAAAATCTAATAAATCGTGATTTAAATAATGAATTAATTTAAAATATTCAAAAAAAACTTGTCGTTATTCTCATAAATAAATAATATATTAGAATTCTCTAAATAAAATTGTATTGCGATCACACAATTGCTCGAGTTCATGCAATCATGAAGGCTGTTCACAGGTAAACGCGACTACTTGTCCCGTTACGAACAATCTCACTGATTTTTGTTACAATTAAAAATGAATAAAACACCACTCGAATTCTTAACACGTTCTTTTATACAAACGATAAAAAAATTCGATTTTTTTTTTTTATCGAAAACTACGAACAAATTTGCGAACAAAACTACGAATACAATAACACGAGAGACACCGAGAGAAACTTACCATTACGACAACCAATCGTCCGAGCACGCAGTTGACTACTGACTGAACGACTAAGGCCTACTTTCCAACTCTCTCTATCTCACCCGCTTATTTCGCCTCGACTGTCTTCCTGCACGAGGCTTTGGTCAGTATAATAGCTACGTCACAGCTCAACTCATCATTTGTCCTTTCCCTCCATTTTTCAGCACTTTAAACGGAATCTATCGATTCATGAGCACGATGCACGAGCTTTCCTCTCGTCGGTGATGTGAAATAGAAAGGTGGGCTTGAATCTTTCAAGTTCAAGGAGAAAGAAAGTGTCGAACGAAACCGGTTGTTTGCTTCTTCAATTTGTAATAAACGAGTATTGCGAACCGATTATTAAAACATACTATGTATTAAATGTATGTATTAAATGATGAAATATCATCATGAATCGAGATTTTATGATTTTACGGTTTTTGAAGTTAGAAATAAATTTTTCAGATAGATTTGTGATGGAAATATTTAATTTGTTTGAGGTTGATTTGATAAAAAAGAGATATCAGTTATAAAACATACGATTTTCTTTTACCGATTTTTTATCTTATTTTTTTCAAAGTAAAACAACATGTAATAAGAAGTATTTCGAATATTTAAAAATTATTCTATCTATGTCAAGTTTTATAATAATATTATAAATTAAAGAATTAAGATTTGTTAATTTTAAAAACGAAACGATAGAAATATATTCAATTGATATTTCATATTTCAGCTCGTAATCAAGCGCCAACAAGCAAGACAAAGAATAAATCAAATTGAAGAAAGATAGAGATAGATAAAAAAGATAGAGATAGATAAAAATATTGAAATCAGAGCCATCTTCAGAGAATGCCGCAAATGAAACACATAAAAAAAAGAATAGAAAATAGAAAAGAAAAAGGATAGAGATAGGATAAGAATTGAATATTAGTGCCATCTTGAATACTTTTAAAAAGATGTTTTTGGTACTCAAGAGATAGCGCTGATATACAATTCCTAGTCTATTTTATCCGTTTTGAAAAAATGTTTTCGATAATAAAGAGATGACACTGATAATCAATTCTTACTATTTCTATTTTTTTTTAATATTTTCTAACCTTTTTTTGTGTGTTTCATTTGCGACATTTTAGAAATAGGACTGATTTCAATATTTTTACTCTATCTCTATTACCACCATTTTTATTTAATTATTATTTGCTTTGTAATATTCATACAAAACAGATTTGTTTCTAATTCCTAAAAATAAAAAATATATTTATATATTATATAAATTATATAAATTATTATATATTATATTTACATACATTTATATTGATTTATTATGATTCATAATTTAATCTATTATTATATTTCATATATGATTTTTTTAAAAATTTGATCAATTTAAAAATTTTTAAATTATTTTTAGATTTTGAAAATAAAAATTTTAGATTTTTAAACTGTTATTTTTAATTTGTTTTTAAATATTATTTTACAATTTTCATTTTTCACTTCATTTTCGATAAATATTTTTATATACATTTTTTTAAAAATATTTGTTTGTACTATTATAAATAAAAATTAAAAATTTTAGTTCTTCTTATGTATTTTATAATATAATAAAAAAAAAATAACAAAATGTTATCTCATAAAAGAAATAAAAATAATAATGTCAAAACATAGTTAAGAGAAAAGATAACAAATATCGACTTAAAGATAATTCGCTTTATTGATTTTTCTAACCATTCATTATGACAAACGACATCCAACGTAGTAAAAGTGGGGATTTCACTCTCACTGTTCGCTGTTTAAGGTAGTCTCGCCTCACTTACGGTTTTCAAAACGGCTCGACCGTAAGTCTATTTATCCTGGTGAACTTTACAGAGAGAATAGTGGAAAAAAGAATTGAAAGTGTGGTTTAAAATTGTCTCGTGTTACGGTGTTTTCAAGATGGAGGTTGAATTTAAGAATCTGGGGAATTCTTTAAAAAATTTAAGCTGCGACTATACATACGTGCCATCTGCAATAGAACAAATAGAAAGTAAGTCGAATATTGCGACCTTTGTTCAATTGCATTTTTATTTTGATTTATTTTATTAAAATCTCGATAATATATATGGTACATTGAATAATAATTCGCATAACTTGTTACTTTATACTATTAATTTTATGCTGCCCATGTCGCAACTAACAACTTTCTTAACACGTGAAAGTTTAGAAGGAACTAAAATTAACTTGCTATAACCTATATTTTTTGTATTTTTAATATAATTTTTACTAATGAAAATTATTATTAATACAAAGAATAGAGTTTAATTAGAAAATAAATTATATTTATAGTTGTAATTGTTATTGTTATTGTATTGCTAGCAAAAAATTAAAGTAGTATATATTTTAAAACAATACAGTTAACGTTTTATCGAATTAAATAATATTTTTATATTAGACGAACGAACACACTTATTTAATAATTTCAATAATATGACAATAATCTTCATTTAATTATCAATAAATCTCTAAAAATATTTAATTAAATTAATTATAGTTACAATTTGTTAAATAATATCTTAAACTGAAATACTTAAAAGTATTTTTGTCCAAATAACATCGAACGTTTAATGTGCGCTGATTTATAGAGCATGCGCAGAAATAAACGCGCCGGTGAAAGTTTTACTCAAAGATTATATATATATATATACATGTTCCGTTATACGAAATATTACATTTCCGGGAAAACGATTATCGTTCAACTCAACGAAAATTACATGCGTATATCACTTAAAAAATACTATAAAAATAATTATTAAAATTTCGATATATAATGTCATTCTGTTTAAATAATTTTAATTTAAATACTACTTTCTCCAAGAAAATAAAATGTATCGCTAAGAACAAATGAATATAATTGAAGAGAGATGTATTAACGATGCTTTTTCTTTTTCCTTTCTTTTTCTTTTTCAATATTCTAAATTTTGTCCTAGAAAAAAATTGAACAAGATAAATATTTTTCTCTTTGATTCTTCTTTTCGAAAAAGTATTATATAATACATTATAAAATTAATATCATTGCATATATTCAAAACAAATGTAAATATATATATTTCAAAGTTCTCTTCAATTCAATTAAATTTTGCAATTTTGATAAAATTTTTTAAAATAAACTTTTTTTTCACAAAAATTGAAAATGTATTCGAAACTTTCCTCTGTAATAAATTTAAGAAACCTTTTTTTCTATATTTTAAAATCGTATTTCAAATATTTTAAAAACTATTACTATATTTTTAAAACTATATTTTTTCAATGTAATAAAATTTTTTATTACCATTTTTTGCGTTTTAAGAAATACAGCTAATTGTAAAGAGATTTAAATATAAATCTTCTGTTTCAAAGATACGGTATATTACACAGCTTATTACTTGTTATCTAACAGTATTTCTCTAATAGCCAATTTCTCAATTCATAATGCAAGAAAAAAAGGAGGGGGGGAAGAAATATAAATATACGATTTAATATCTAAAGATGAAAATATCGATTGAACGAGATTTTCATAATTTTAATTTTATTTTAAGTTTTTTTTAATCTTACAATCTTACAATCTTATCAATTATATTAATGATTAATTGAATAAATATCAAATATATATATATAATATCAAATTTATAAGACAATATATTTTTATTTTATCTCGGAATGATTGACTAGTTTTATCTCTCTAAATTATCGTTTTCGCAAATCATTTTCGTGGAATGATGCTTTTATCAATATCATGCACAGATTCAATAGATAAGCATATTGTAAATGTCTAATCTCTTATCAGAATGTTAACTAGATCATTAAAATATTTATCAATGTAATATTTCCAGGAATGTTTCTATAATTGCTATATAATGTTTATATAAGTAACAACTCATAATGATAACTACATCAATAGCACTGTTATCATTAATTTAACACTTTCAGGAATGTTTTTATAGTTGCTGTATAATGTTTATACAATTAATAATTCTAAATTGAATAGATGATAAAAAAAATTAGATTTATTTCGCACGGATTCTTATTTTTCTTTCGAATATTCTGTTTTCATTTTCAGGTTTCAGTACATTTGGTATAGGTTTATTAAGCTTTGGCGCCATACTCTCCACTTTGACGTTGTATTTCGCATTAGACGCTTGCTACAATATTTTCCATCAAAAGGAAACATGGTCCTACAAGAATAACAGTATCATGCTACTTTTGTTGTATCCTGTAGCGAGTATCTGCACTCTTACGGCTCTTGGAATACCAAGGTAAATCAGTTCATTTATTCATTTTTGGGGGGAAAATCTGTATAAAATGATCTTCGACACATCAAAATTAAAAACTTTAGAAGAAAAATTCAATAAGTCCATTTTTTTTAAATTCTCTATATCATAGCTAAAACAGAATATTTTAATATTTCAATATTAAGAAGGTAAAAGATTCAGCAGGTTTCAAGAAATAATTCGACGAATTTAAATTAAATTTAAAACCTTGACCTCTTCTAAAAATAAAGGAACGTGACTTGTCAAATTCTTCTCTCGATCGAAAGATAGAAATTGAGAGAAAAATAAAACAACACAATAGCATTGCGTCCCTTAACTCAAAATGCACCAAATTTTGTTCGAATCGATGATGAAGTAAACCAGAAAATCCACTTAAGGAAATCGAGGGGAAAAAAGAAATGGAAATCCGATAAAATATCGCACATGAGGAACGAAACAAAGGCCCAATTTGAGACACTTTTTAACGATCATAAAATAGAAGAGCAACCTCGTCCCTAATAATCTTGATTTTCCAAAGATAATCCCTATTCCAATGTGTCACACCTGCACTGGACCAAAATTTGATGGGTCCTCTCGATAACCCGAACAAGGTTGGGACAACGACACGAAAATTCCATCGCGAGAAAGGTCCATTGATATTTTCAACTCGTGTCCCGAACTCATTTTTCATTTCGAGGGAGGAGAAAATCTAAATTTTCAATTCGACCATTCTCTTCGTATACCGTTCACGTACAAACCGAATTTGAAATTATTCCCAAAGGCTATTTTATATTTTGATTAAGATTTTTCCATCGTTTCCAGGACCCAATTACTGTCGGAAGCCGTGATCCAAATATATCTGGCGATAGCCCTGTTTCGACTGTATCTGCTGTTGGTCTACGTGGGTTTCAAAAAGATCACGAAAACGCCGGCATTAATGCTGCGAGCGATGCCCTGTTGCTGTTGGCCCTGCCTCCACTTTCCAAGTCTTGAAATGACCGATAATAATTTGTCCTGGCTCCGACTGTTAGTCCTGCAACTTCCTATTATCCAGGTTATTTCTTCTTTTCTGCCTTTATCTTTTTGTCTCTTTTCTTGGCAACTGCTCCGGTAAAAAAAAAAAAAGTGATCGTTAACTGTTGATTGGTTTCTCGGTATCTACAGAAGGTCTGCGATTAGAATACATTCTCGGTATCGCTTAATTTTTTATAGAAAAAAAATCCTACATGTTCCAATGTAATTTTCTACCATTAGAACGTTAGAACGTTTTTCGTAACGAGAATTATGAATAAGCAACTATCTGATCGAATTTTTTACGTTGGAAAATTTATCGTTAATTTAGAAGCTAAAGATACGCGCGCTCGATCTTTTTTTCTTTTTTTTTTTTCTTTCAATGCAACAGTTATGTTATCCTTGCTAAAATTTCCTTATCTATTTCAGACTCTAATTTACAGCACGTTTCTGTTCATGTCGTTCGAGGAGCCCCGTCTCTCGGATCAATACGCGATTTTTTTCCAACCGCTTTCGTTGGCCAGCGTGCTTCTCGGAGTGTACGGGTTGACCGTTACTACGAAGAGTCTGCAAGAAGTCGCTCCAGGTAAAAATCGCGCATACTTAATTGAGAGGAAGGATTCTCCAAGTATAATCTGTTCCTGTTATCTCATCTCCGCTCCACGAAATTACAAGGGAGGCCGATTATAAAACAATTTTCTACCATTCCTCTCCCATTCTTCAAAAGAAAAAAAAAAAAAAAAAGCACCGCGAACGATTTACAAATTTGCATTTACACGATAAATTCGTTGTTAATTCGTACGCACGGATGGAAAGACAAGGTGGAAAAATATTAAAACGAGCGGAAAACGAGAATGATGGGACAGAATGATGCTCTTTCCCTTCCAAGGTTGACAATTATCGCGTGAGAGACCACACACAAGCAATGCGCGACAGGAAGCAATTTCGAAGCTCCTGGAAAGCGTCATTGTCTCTTGCAGCCTAATGGATGGGCACGGTTTTGACCTGCTGTCAATTTCACAGAGGCGAAACTTCCACGCAAGACCATAGTGACCCAGATAGTGCTGCTATTTTCGAAGCTGCAGGCGTTCATTGTGAAGGGTTTGGTGCAAACGGGCCTGTTTCCCTGCAATCCACCAATTACACCGCAAATTTACGCCAATGGTAAGTTCTTCCTATATTTTTCAACTTTAGAAATTAACGAACGCAAAGAATATATATATATATATATATATGCACTTCTTGAATCTTTTTCCAAGATGATCTTTCTTTAAAAAAAAAAAGAAAATTTTCGAGCTAGAAATAATTCAACTTGGACATTTATATTCTAAGAACAAAGTCTTCTCGAATATGAATACAAATTTCCTCGACGACGAAGACGACTGCAACTGGTATGGGAACACTGGTGGGGGGCACCATGATGAAAGAACACGGGGCTCCCATAACATTTCCATACGCGAGGGCCACAAATAAAGGAACGAGCACTGTTACTTTCCTCTGCCCGATTTCAGTTACCCACAATGCCCTGATGCTAATCGAGATGCTGTTGCTCTGCTACACGGCGAGGTACGTTTATTACGTCGACCTGGAAAGGGAGGAAGAGACTGGCGCGGTTGAGGCGACAGATCGGTCCAAAGACAAGAGCACGGAACAAGCGAACTCGACGAATAACAACGAGGCCAGCAACAGGCAGCCATCAACCTTGACTACGTGAGATTTTCACTCCTTGTCTCGACGATTTTCGACTTTTCTTTTTTCTTCTTTTTCTTTTTTTTTATTCACGAGTACGAGATCGTAATTTGTACGATCGTTTCGTTGAATCGTAATCTCTATTATCGTGGATGTAGTATCTATCGTATCGCTACTTTAAGACGATACTTTAGAGCGTGAGTGATTGAATTTAGATAGATGATGATTAAGAAATATAATAATGATATCCTTTGCGCGAATATTGTAATACTTGATTTTGTAGAAAAGAATATTGATCGTATAGGATATCTGGAATAATTGGGAAACAGTTAATGTCGTGGAAAAAGTTTCGTAGAATTTGCGATAATTTTTAATGATTTTGATCATGGTTCTTGAAATCATTCGAGGAAGAAAAATCTCAATTTTTATGTATATATAGAAAAAATTTCGAATAAATATTTCAATTATTTCAAACGATTGCTATTGATAATAATAGATAAGTACGATTAGATAGTAAGATTTTTATTAAAACGTTAATTATCGTTGATATTAGTCACTATCGTATTTTTTAAAGAATTGTGATAGAAATTAATAAAATTATACTCACAAATTCTATTTATTCCTTGCACCGACTTATTCGAATTGCGCAAACCGCGTACAACGAACGCATTCGTCGAAACGAAGAAACTCCTCACGATAACTTTCATAGAAAATTACGAAACTCTCTTCAAAACCAGTAATCGATCTTACGCAACATTTTACTTTTTTTTACATTTTGAACAATCTCTCGAGAATTCTGTCGTATTCTCGAATGAAAACCAAAAAAAAAAAAAAAAAAAAAAAAGAAAACGTCGTGAATATCGAATTACTGAAAAAGAAGAGGGAAGAGAAATTCTCTAAAATTGAAGCACTGTGTCGAATCATCGCTGCGACTTCTCCATCAGCGAAACTTTCTCGACGATGCCTACCGCAGCCTCTGCACAAGCATCGAAATCTCCAGCACGGAAGAAGAACCGGGAGCTGTCGGTCCAACTATGAGAACAGCCATACCTCGTAGTGAATTCACCACCCGTCACTACGCATTATCGCATCGCATGAACGGCTGACAGATCACAGTGGATACTCGACGAAATGACTTGCAGCCTACACACATTTACGAAACGTGGCTGAAGGGTACTCGACCGTTTTCGAGACAGAGAGAGAGAGAGAGAGAGAGAGAGAGAGAATGAGAAAGAGAGGGGGGAGGGGGGAGAACCACTTCGACGTTCTAACGCAATGCTCTCTCTTTTTCTCTCTCTTTTTCTCGAAGGAAAAAAATCGTTTAGGGAGAGGTGTGTCGTTCCATCGAAACGAAGAATACTGGAAGATATTATTCGTGATGTATAATTATCGTCGTGTGCGTAATCATCTTGAAATAACGGGTTGGAGTTTGGATTTTTTTTTTTTGTCAGTCTGTGTTTCAGAGATACACAGAGTGTACGGGTTTCTTGTATTGGGCTAATGATAGACGGCTAACCGTTGCACTCCTGGGGACAAACTTCTGTTTGTCGCAGAGGAGGATCGAATTCTTTGCTCCAACGTTTGGATCTACGGTAAGTATTCAGATGTTTCTAATGGATTTATAGTTCGATACGTTTCTCGTGATGATCCTGTTTATAAATAATATAATGTTACTCGTAGATTGGGATACGTGAAAGGTGTTTACATACGTGCAGCTGGATGAAATTTCTTTTAAGAAGGACTACGGTAGCCGAGAGAGAGGATTGTGCTAAGTCAAAAAATCAACATTAAGGCGCGGGGTCCGCGTCTTGAATAGAATTTTTTGTTCGGAATAAGTATTACTACTACAGATATATATCTCATCGAAAAGGTATAAAGGTAAAAAGGTATTTCACAATCGTTTTAAAATTTATAAACTGTATTTAAATAAGAAACAATGTAAAACATGCAAGAGATATGCTAAGACTCTTTACAAAATTCGAAAATATTTTACGAAATGCATGATTTCATTCTTTCATCGACGACAAATTCTTCGAACTTTATTTCTCCAAAGGAAAGTGAATTTAAATTTCTGATGATCAAACTTTGCTCTCTTTCTCTCTCTTTCTTTTGTAAATAGAAACATCTCCATGAGATTTCTTTTTTTAAAAATCTCGCGTCAAAGAGATTTGCAAATTCGCAAAGTATCGGTCATTTCCAAAATTCTTAATTCATAATGAAAAAATTAATTTTCACCTCTCTTCGCCTCAATCGTTTCAAAGATTCGAGCGAAATAGTAGAACTCGATCGATACATTTTTGAAAAAAACGATACTTCTCAATTACCGAGAACAGACATCCAATCTTTGTTTCAGACTCGAGAAGAACGGAGGCAAGTAGAAGATGGACAATAGAAGCAGCGAAACAAAGTTTGAAATTCGAAGAAACCCCTCGAAGAGTTTCTCGAAGTCGTCTCGTTGGCGCGGAGGAGGAAGAATGTCGGGAAGAATTATCACCGGCGCGCATCAGGAAGTGTCCCATTACATTCGTGGCGGCACGCCGATTTTTCTCTTTCCATGTTTCGGAACGATCGATCGTCACCACGGTGGCGCGACTTCTTTTCGGTACGTACAGGCCGAGCATAGACCCTGCAGGGATATTAATATTCCGATAACGTGTCCGGATATATATTAACCGTCTTTGTTCCTTCCAGACTTCTTTCCTCTTTCTCTTCTGTCCCCGCGACACAAGATGAACGTTCTCGAGATAAGAAGAGGAGTTCCACGAAGACTTACCTTCCACTTTATTATTCCTCCCCGTGCTCATAGTTTCTGGCCCGCGGCTCGCTTTTGCCCCCGACCTTGCAACTATTATTACAGAACGTGGCGAGTTTCACGATGCAACGGACACGAACGTGAAACGAGCCACGCGTTTCGCTTCGAATCTTTGTAACTTTCGACCACTTGGCATTCGTTGCCAACGTCGAAACAACCGTTTCCGTCGGTAAGATAAGATGGTGGATGGAATTTTCGTGGAAACACATCTAAATGATGCCATTTCCTTCTCGATAACTCTCGAACGTGAACTCGATATTTAATTAAGATCGCTTTTTCGTTTCGTAAGTTCGTTTCGTAAAGCAAAATCTTTCTTTTGAGATTCATTGAGAAAGAAGCGAGTATTTGTACCGTATCGTAGATAATCACATATTTTGGAACACCGATCACTATAAGAATATTTATGCAAAATAAAAATTTGTACGATTAAAGAAATCGAGATTCAAATAGAGATTCGTCAAATTTCACAATACGTATTATACTTTATAAATATCTTGCATCTCTTTTGAATAATATTATTCTGTAGACTTTCTTTACACTTTTACACATTTTTCGTAAATGCATAAATATCCACAAAGTATTGATCGCATCGGCATTAATTATTACTACTATTTCTCCGCTTCATTGATTTTCTTCCAACCATCGTCGAACGTGGCTCGAAAAATATACTCGAAACCGGCAATCACTCGGATGATCACAAGCGAGACCAGGCGTAATGACGGGGCGGAATCATTAAAATCGATCAGATTGGAAACGTAATCGCGATTTCCAACCACGAATCCCTTTCTTGCCAGGCATCGGTCGGCTAAACCATAGAGCAAGGAGAAGCGCACCGTAAACGGGTTCGTGAGGGGACGTTACACGCCGCTCCCAAAGTATATTGCGTGCCCCCTCATTTTTTGACCGATTTGAGGGCCTGCTGCCTACCTGCAACCTGGGCCCACCGACCCCACAAAACACTCTCCATCCCTTTCTCGGCCCTCTTCCTCCCTCTTCACCCCTCCGCCGCATTTATCCGCCTCCCAACTTTTTTCCTTTTCCTTTCATCGCGCAACCTTTTTCCTTCGGAACCGTAATCACGATCGAGATTCGAACAGCGTAATAGATTTAACAGTTTCTTTTGATCCCCTCGCGGTTGCGGGATCGATTCGAAGGGAGGCCGAGGGAAATCTCTTCCTCTCTTCTTTCATTCGAAAGAATCATCGATTCGTTTATTTTAAACGAGTTGGCGCAAATGTGATACGATATATACATATATATACGAAATATAAGACGAGTTTAATTTAAAATCTGAGGTATCCTTAACTGGTAATTATGTTAATCATAATCATAAATTTGAAACGGGATTTCGAATGATCGTAGCGAAGTATAATAATTAACATTGTATGGGAAGAATGAATTTACTCGTTATATTTGATTTGAATCGTGGCGATATCGATTAAATACACCACTGGATGGTAAAAAAAAAATGTTTTTGATGGGGTTTAAAGAACAATAATAAGGCAAATTATACGTTTTGCATCGCAAGAAAAACGATCGAATTACTCTTAAGTAGGGGACATCAAGGGTAGATTGGGACACGGAGTGCAGTGATTCCGAAATTGTTGATTGGTAATCTTCGGTGGAACTAATTAAGGCGGCCGACTTGGATCCACCGTCCAAATTGTTTTCTATGCCGGCTTCCCCTCTGTCTCGAATAGATAGCCTTGGGAGATCTTTTTTAACCCGTGGAATGGGTTAACGAAAAAAAAAAAAAAGAAGAAGAAGAAGAAGAAGAAGAAGAAAAAGAAAGAATCGACGCGACAAGATATTTTGCGACCTAATGAACCGGCATAACGTCTCTTAACGTAATTATCTTTATGATTTATAATAAACGCGTACTCGTTAGTTCGACATTTTTCTGGGGCCGTTGCAATTTATGGATTCCCGAGAATTTCAACTGGATTTCTTCTGGCCACGCGAGAATCAAACTTAACGAACGAGTTACGAATTAATTAAGAAGATATTAATTTTTTTCGCGAATGCTACATCTTCGAGTAAACAATATTACATCATATAAATGAAAAGAATTTAATTTAAATATAAAATCTATCTTATTTTATTTTTCTTATCATTCACTCAATGGAATCTGAAAATTCCAATTTTTTTTACAAGCTCAAAGTTTGTGGGATAACATAATTCTTCTGTATTATCATATTTTAATATGAAGTCAAAGAATTGAATTTCGTAGCAAGAAAGAATATTCGAACGATATTTCTTCGGACCATAAACCAACCAACAAGAGATTCTCTCTCAAAAAAATCGGATAACAAAGTTGGCTCTAATTCGTTCCCTATATACTTCTTTCGATCCTTCCCTTCGATGTCGAAAAAAATCTCGTCAAATCCAACAGGTCTAATTTGAGGAAACACACGCCGATATTGTACAACAATACAGGTATTGTTTGCCGAGGGTGTAAAAACCTCTATTCGTGAGAGAGTTGAAAATCATCTTGAAAAAGAAAGAAGCCGTTTCGTTTTCTTTTTCATCCCTTGGCCGACTTAGCGCCCGGCCAGATCCATAAACTCTCGCAATAAAAACGTAACTTAACACACCACCTCCATCCCGGATATCTTTGAAAATTTTACGCCCTTCTCGTTTAACGAAGCCGTAATCGCTACTTGGAGAGAATTGTCGCGCGCCGCCACTTGGATCGAGTGGTTGGCTCTTCTTGGAGGCGACGTTACAATTTTCCTGTCTCGGGAAGGGGAGGGGAGAGGATCGGCTGCAGGAAATTCGGCGCGATGCGCGACGAGGATTTCCAGATCTCGGGGAGGGGGAGAAGCGCGTGGCCATCTGCGGCGCGCGCGGAGGAATCGGAAAACGCTTTTCGGTGGATCGTCGACATATGGCACGCGGGACCAGACTTATCTCGAGGAAAAAATACGCCTCGAAGGCGCGGCCGTGTCTGCCGAAAATGTTGCGGAGGTGGAGACGAACGAGGCGGCTGAATCCCTGCCCAACCGATGGATTCGAACGTCGTTCTTTCAAACGAGAATTAAGCTTGGGGATTTACCTGGGCCTGGTTTGGATACCGTTTGTCGAAAAATTGTAACGGATGGTTGATTGATTTGCCGCTTTCATTGCCGTAATAAGACACGTAAGATTAATAAAATTTCTCTAAATTGGTACTTCGTGTAATTGTGTATCAATGGCAATATATGGGGATATATTATTTGGTTTAGTTAGATATACATAAATAATTGTAAATTTAGAATTAAATCCAATGATTGGCATTTCATTAGCATTATTTCCCACGAATGAAGAAGAATATTTTGATAGGACACCCAGGAAACCTATTCATCATTCTCTATAAAAGTTTCGAAACACACTTTTGCCCTGTTCCCAGTTAATCGATCAAATCTGGAGTCTCACCCAGCGATTTAAAATTCCACGATTGTTGGCATAGTGTGATCGAAGTAAAACGTAAACACACTCGATCGATTTATTAGATTCTAGCTTGATCTCTACAGCTAAACTATTTAATTCGTTCAAAAAGATATCTTCGATTAATGAAACTATCGATTCAAGTTTATATTATCGATTCAAATTTTCACCCATTTCCACCAAGGGAAAAAAATGGAAAGAAAGGAAGAAACATCATTTCTACAGATTTTGACGCGTTTCAGGAAGATGGAAAGGATCAGATCACCGGCGATCTATCATTCGAAAGAGAAGAAGCAGAAGCGTCGGTGTGGGTCAAAGTGGCCGTGAATTTTCGCCATTCGGCCCCTATTCGTCTTGGTTCAGCCGTTCTTCCACGCGACCATATGGTCGCCGACGGCGTGGTCCATTATTTTCTACAGGATTCTGGGCATAAAAATGGAAGAGGCGGGGGTAAGGGCAGTTGGCCCTCCACGAAATTGCCCGAAAATTGCCCTCGACATTGGCGTTCCCTTCGTTTTTTTTCCCCGGATAATTTCATAATTTTAATTTGAATTTCAATGCAATGCTCGCGCCAATCACCTGCGAGAATAGCTCCTCCCGACGTTTAGGAATTAACCCTTCGCGCTCGAATTTATCTCCCTAAAGATTGTTCTAAAGATCGTTACGTGCTGTCGATTGAGAAAGCATTTATTAAATCGTGTGAGATGTAGAAGCTTAATGATCGATCTAACCTCTAAGGATTGCTTTAGTAAAAGACGAAATTTTTCTTTTTAGGACACATTGAAAACGAGGACATAAGATTTTGAATTAAATTACTTGGAAAATTTTATAAACGAAAAATTTATGAACGAAAGAAAACACGAATGATATTTTTTGTAAGCAATTTCTTGAATTCCATTTATGCTAATGTAAGCTCTTTCGGCTTATGTTCCTCTTATAATATATTTATTTTACGTGGATATTCATTCTTTAAACGATTAACCATACAAAAACTTTATAAAATACATATTTAAAGTTCAAAAGAAAGATACATCCTTTAGATTTCTCGAAGATTTGAAACGGATCGAAAAGTGTCACGCATACCAGTGAAGACTTATCCAATATACGAATATACGTAACATAAATTTTTACGTGAATCCGGATTCTCTTTCAATTCTCAACGTTATTTATGAATTTCTCATAACTTCCATTATCGGTTCCATACGAGGATATAAAACTATTAAGGGGAAGGATGAAATAAGAAAAGAAATAGAGAGAGAGAGAGGGAGGAGGAACGTTTGGATCGGAGCCTCAGACACTTACACACAGCAGCACGTTCTCCACATCCTTTCTATTCCATATCTTCTAACTTTCCTTTTTTTTTTTTTTTTACCCGTTTCGCCTCTCGACTTTCCTTCCTCGTCTCTATAAAATATGCTAAATCGCCCGCGGAATCATGGCGCCCGCTCTCTCCCCCAACGCTGTTATTTACGAATTATGAATGTTGTAAGACAGAGCATAATGATCGCGACCAGGCCGGGCCAATTTTCGCCGCTTTAAGCACCGTATCCTTGATGCGAGTCCGGGGCCCCCCTTGTCGGCTTCGAGCGTGCCCTAGGAATTCTTAGGATCGATCGTCATTCGTCCACTCTCGAAATGAGTTACACCATACTCCTCCTCCCCCCCTTCCTATACGCCATTTCTCGATGAAAGGTCACGGTTCTAATTAATTTTTCGTTTCGACCGGAACCCGACCGCATTAACCTCCCCACCTCGTTTTCTTATTTGCATACGTAGTTTTTAAAACTAGTTTTCTAAGTTTCGCTCTATTTTAAGCTTCCTCGCCAATTTTCTCCAAAAATTACTCCGATTAATAATAGAAAGTACAAGTAGAAAGTAGATTAAATTCAATTTGGTTGAATTATAGATTAAACACCGAGAAAAAATTATTAATTCTTTAAGTCATATCAAACAGTTACTTTGTACATAAATAAATTTGATGCTTACGATTAGAAAACTAGTTTTCTAAGTTTCGCTCTATTTTAAGCTTCCTTGCCAATTTTCTCCAAAAATTACTCCGACTAATAATAGAAAGTACAAGTAGAAAGTAGATTAAATACAAGTTGGTTGGATTATAGATTAAACACCGAGAAAAAATTATTAATTCTTTAAGTCATATCAAACAGTTACTTTGTACATAAATAAATTTGATGCTTACGATTAGAAAACTAGTTTTTTAAGTTTCGCTCTATTTTAAGCTTCCTCGCCAATTTTCTCCAAAAATTACTCCGACTAATAATAGAAAGTACAAGTAGAAAGTAGATTAGGTACAAGTTGGTTGGATTATAGATTAAACACCGAGAAAGAATTATTAAGAATTTTTTTAAATCATAACAAACAGTTACATAAATAAATTTCGATCCTTACGATGAAAAATGACTCTAATCGATACAGTACGAAATATTCGTATTGTACAAAACCAGGAAATTGGAGGGGAAGGAGGGTAAAGAGAGATAGGAAATTTTGGACAAATTTGCCGCGGCCGGGATCGGCGAGTCTCGGCGAAAAAAGGACGATACAGGGGATCGCTTAATATGGAAAAAAGCCGTGGCGCTGTGGCAATCAAGGTGGCTGTGGTTTGCGGACCGCGCCGTTTTTGCAGCATTCGCATGCTTTTTTACGAGGCACCATAGCGAAACTCTCCTTTCGAGAGGAGCAATTACAGGGCCCCGGGACGAACAACACGCGGCTGCGGTTGTTCCGCGGCGACGGTGGACGAAAACGACGGGCGCCCATTCAACGTTGGCGAACACGCGTGGAACCACGTGCATACGAGATTATCGGGACAATATCCCCGACTCGGGGCCATTGTGCGAAAAAGCGAGCGACGCGGGATGCACCGACGGGATGGCGGCGACAAGAAAAAAAAAAAAAAAGGATTAAAAAGGCGAAAGGAAAGGGAACGCCGAGAAAGAGAACTGACGGCTGGAATCGTATTTCGTCACGCGAGAATATATTTAGAGATAACAGCGAAATGACAGGGAGTTCGATCGAGGTATCATTCGAGGAATACTTTTAACGAGGAATGAGCTTCGAGATACGCAGTGGAATGACGGTGTTGCGCGCGTGTAATAAAGCTAAGTGTCGCTTTAGGCGAGAAAAGTGCACGTTTTAGTCGCATCTCTTGCACGTCAATTTTCTGGCTGGTAATAATATCATCGATGAAAATCACTCGGGTTCTAACTTTTATTTTTTATCTTCCGTAATAATACGCGTGTTAAAGTGGAATGAAATTCTATCGAGTTTCGAAACACTTTCGGGATCAAAGAATCTCGAAGGTCTAACAGTTTTTCAATTTACTTTTTTCTCTTTAAGT